CCCCAAAACCCCAAAACCCCAAAACCCCAAAACCCCAAGAGCAAGGCTCAAGACTGAAATTAAGGAGAATTTAGTTAATTCTTGCTTCAATAGCTGCCTTGATCTTTTCAAAAGCCATCATCATAAGAGCGTTGTTGAGGAGGGTCTGGAAGAGTTTAGCGTAGATACCTCTGTAGAGGGCTAAGAAGCCTTCCTCTTTGAGGAAATCATTAAGAATGGTTAATGTAGAACCTCCCTTTTTGTCTGTAAATTCTTTTGTCTTTAAGGTGAGTACTGGATATGTAGCAAAAGTAGCAATGAATTTTGACACCAAACTAATTAAAAAGATCATTTTTGCAGAAGGAACTTGAGAATTATCCTTGATGATCAAAGTTCTGAGTTTTTCATAGACACCGAAGTTGATCACAGGGTTGATCACAAGGACCAAACCTGAGAAGAATCCTTTCCAGAGTCCAATTACTCCGCTCTCTTCAATAGCATCTTTAAAATGCTGATAAATAGATTTTTGCTCTTTAGATACGCACATTCTTGTTTGAATTTTCCAAATTGGTGACGTCAAAGCATTAGTTATAGAGCCTGCTAATGCTGTGATGATGATCATCTTCTTAGTATCAAGGGCATTACTATTGGGAGAGATAGCGACCTTCCAGAACCTATACCAGAAGAAATAAATAGCAAATGTGATAACAGCTCCGCCACATGTGATGCCAAGTCCACTATAGAACGCATTGATTCCTTCTTTCTCCCACAGTTTGTACAAATAATGGAAAGCGCTGAAGGATTTCTTGCTTTTCTTCTTCCCATCGGATTTCTATACAGAATGATTAGTCTGGCAAAATAAGAGAGTTAGGCAGGCCTAGGAAGACCCTGAAAAGCAATACAGAGGTAGAATGTCTTACCTGTGAGCCATCCTCGATACTTTCTTCACTTCCTTTGTAATCTTGAAGCCTTGTTCTGATATTTTCTAATGGGTGAAACAGAAGGTTGGTAATGAAAGCTGCTACTCCTCCTGATAATCCATCAACAGTCATCTCTTTAGTGTTGGCTAACAAGGTTTGAAGGAAGCTTTGGTCTGGTTCTTTGTCTGACATTTTTTATATTTCAACTAAGATTTCTTACTTGGGGTTTTGGGGTTTTGGGGTTTTGGGG